GAGGGAGGGAGGGAGGGAGGGAGGGAGGGAGGGAGGGAGGAGGAGGAGGAGGAGGAGGAGGGGAGGGGTCCTGGAGGCAAGGTGGCCCGGGAGGATTTCTCGCCGCGCTCGGGCCGCCCGCGGAGGAGCGGCTCGGGACGAGAGGCAGGCCCTTGGCTTGGGGACAGCTCGGGGGACCAGGGCCCGCACCTGCCAGAGGACCCCTCTGCGCCAATCCCTGAGATCCGACGCTGCGAAGAACGCAGCCCACGATGCCCCCCCCCCACACCCGACCACCACGGGGGTGGAGCAGACTCGTCGGATGGGCGCCGCGACTGGGGGGTGGGATTCTGGGGAGCGGTCCACGCTCGAGCGCCAGCCTCGAAGACCGCCGCAACCTCACCCTCGCCGTCTGATGTTCCGACCTGGTTCAGCCTGAGCCCCACCAGAGAAAGAGCGTCGAGCACCAAGAGGGCGCCGAAACTGGAGGGTCTTCACGTGTCGGGCTCTGGGAGGCGATGCTCGTTTGACATTGGTTCGATACTTCTCTTACTTTTCGGGGTGCTCGAACTTGTTTGAGACATAACCCTTGCCCACGGTCCCGGCACCCCGCTTGTCAGGGATTGCCGCGGGTGCCGTTGTTGGGGGGTGGGTGTGTTATGTCGGATCATCAGCCAGGAGGAGGAGGAGGAGGAGGAGGAGGAGGAGGAGGAGGAGGAAAGGGAGGAGGAAAGGAGAGAGGGGAGGAGGAAGAGGAGGAGGACGAGGACGAGGACGAGGACGAGGAGGAGGAGGAGGGATGAGGAGGAGGAGGAGGATGAGGAGGAGGAGGAGGAGGGAATTAGGGAGGGAGGAGGAGGAGGAGGAGGGAGGGAGGAGGAGGAGGAGGGTGGGAGGAGGAGAGAGGAGGAGGAGAGGAGGAGAGGAAGGGGGAGGAGGAGGAGGAGAGGATGAGGAGGAGGAAGAGGAGGAGGGGGAGGAGGAGGTGCAGCATCACAAAAAAAGGCCACGGCCGGAGCCCCAGACCCCACTTGTCCACTGCATGTCTCGAGCCGGATCGATATCCGATGGCCCCAGGGCCGCGAGACGAGGCGAAAACGCCAGTTCCGAAAAGATTGCAGAGCCCGGATCTCAGGGTCGATGCTTGATCCTCCTCCTCCTCCTCCTCCAATCTCTTCTTCCCTCTCCTCCTCCTCCTCCTCCTCCTCCTCCTCCTCCTCCTCCTCCTCCGCCTCCTTCTCGTCAGGCGTCCGACGTGACTCTTCCCCTCGATCCTCCTCCTCCTCCTCCTCCTCCTCCTCTTCGATCCTTTTCCTCCTCCTCCTCCTTCTCGAGCCTCGTCTCCGATCTGACTGAGCGGCCTGCTCGGATCGGCCGAGGACCCCTTCAGTCAATTGCCGAATTACCTTCTTGAAATTACAGTCAACCCGCACAGAAAGGATGAGCAACTTCCCAAGATTTCCCTTGCATCCAATCCTTTCGGCCCATCCTTGACCGCTTTCGCTGGCCGCGCCCCGCTCGCAAAGTTTCGGCACGGTCTTCCAAGGCCCGTGCATTCTTATCGTGCGTCCTTTTTTATGCAAACTGGCTGTATAGCAAAGTATGAGAGCGATACCGATTCGATTTCTGATATGATTAAGTGAACACTCCCTCCTCCTTGCAGAGGCGCTGCTGGGCTTAGACCACGCTGACCAGGCGGCGTTCGTGTCGGGAAGCTCGGCCAAGCCGGTGACGGTTGTCAAAAAAACACAGCATCATAACATCGACAGTGTATCAAAGTCAGGGAGGGAGGTGATTCACACCCCGATGCTAGGCCATACTCGGCCAGACCGGTCGAAAACACCCCGCGCAGCTTGTTTTTGTTCCCCCATCAGGCGAAGGATTGGTGAATTCGGTTCGACCCCGCGTCCATGTTTCTATCTCGCATGATGAATTGTTGAGCATGGCGAAACACCGAGATGCCCTCCTCACTTCGGCTGCGGGGGGCGGCATGCCACATATATCAGCGCGGCTTGGGCGGGCCCAGCGTCAGCTGGACGCGACTGCCGCAGCTATATGTTCCCAGGTAGCGGTGAGCCAAGCTGTCTTGATCCGACGAAGGGGGCCTGACCTTCTTACAGTCAGTTGCGGTGGGCTTGGTGGGGGTTATGTTGCCATCCCGTCTTGGCGGCCCCCCCCCCTCCCCCTGAGACCACGCGCGCCTGGCTTGGCGCTGCGCCTTCCCGTGCTTGCGAAGTGGTTCTCGCACAGGGGAACCGTTTGGGCAACACACGGGCGTTGCTTGCACGTGGTGGTCATTTGGTCAGACGTCAATTCCTCGCGCATGAAAAGTTGCAGCATCGCCGTCATGAAGAGAGCCATGGCACCAGGAGGCAAGAGTCAAGACTGGGTCCTTTTCTGCGCTCCGTGTCTCATTTTGGCCATACCGGGGGATGCGTGGGAGTTCTTCGCTGTGACGGGGCTACGTGCTGGCCTCTTCCTATCCCGTTTGTGCCAATGTGCCCGGGTGTCGAGTTTCGGCTCATGGTCTACCTGGCTCGCCTGCGCCCTCTAGAGGACCCCTGCTGCGGCGGGTTGCCGATGCAGTGCCCACCGTAGGCACGCGATGTGCTTTCGGGAGGCTGGGCACGTCGCGAAGCAGAGCCGCTTACCAAGAACAAGGGGCAGGAAAGCTAAAAGTTAGCGAAGGTTGGTTCTGCTTATGGCGGAGGTCTTCTGCCAATCCAGCATTTGCGCATGTCAATAGACGTGAACCCCGCTCGCGCCTGCGGAGTTGTTGACGCCAAGAGGTTATACCGTGCGTGCTCTATTGCGCGTTTGCACGTGGTCCCATCCCAGGGAACCAATGAGACGATCAGAGCGAACGTGCACGCACAGCTGGAGGCCGATGATTTTGAAGTGGAAGAGCTGCAGGGTGATTGCACTTCTACCGAGGACGCTTGGACCAATATGTTGAAAGCCCTGGCCCGTTTGACAAAGGGTCCGAATGCCTCCTGGCTGCTCCGTGGGAGGTGACAGGGTGCAGGTGCACAGGTTGGGATCGAACGGGAGAATTCCGCAGGCGCGAGTAGCGCATGGCTTTGTCAAGACACGTCAAGATTGGATTGGGAGGGGAAGGGAATGAGGAGGAGGAGGAGGAGGAGAAGAGGAGGAGGAGGAGGAGGAGGAGGAAGAGGAGAAGGAGGAGGAGGAGGAGGAGGACGAGGAGAGGGTGCAGTCGGACTCATCGCTGGAGATAGCGACCAGATGTGGTATCGGCCAGGCGAGGCTCTGCCTCTCCTGGGACGCAGACGACGACGACGGCAACGACGACGGCGGCGGCGTCGACGACGGCGACGACGGCGACGACGGCGGCGACGACGACGATAGCGATGCTGACAGCTGGCCTCTTCTCCGCCTCCGCCTGCTGCTCCCCACCCCTGCCCGTGGGCAAGACATGTCGGGGATCCGACTCGAGCGCCCCTCCAGAGGGGGCACGTCCCATCTCTGAGAGCAATGACTACAGGTTGCCCCTGCAAACTTTTCATAGACCAGTCCTTCATTTTGCCACGCATGCCACGGCATGAAGCTCTCCACAGAGACACTTGAGTTGATCTCGACTTGTCGGGTATCTATGGGCCCAGCCTCCCTTTCGGCAGATCGTGGCGTTTGGTCGGTAATGGTTGGTTGTTGCGCGTGGTGGTTGGTCCACCTGCTAGACGTGCCTGTCTGGGGCCACCCGACACGGGCAGATTGCAAGGAGCCAGGGGTCCAGGAGGACGGGTTGCCCTCTAGGTCGTCGCATAGGCGCACGCTCTTCCAATTCGATTGTGCGTTGAGAGATCGGCTGTGGCAGTAACCTGAAGTCAAGCGGGCGACTCGTCAGTTCGTGGGACGGTGGCCACGGGAATTCTTGGACGGGATGATCCGTGGATGTGTTGTTTGTTGCGCTTGTTGATTGGCTAGATCTTTCTTACAGACGCGTCACGACTGCAGTGGACGCTTGTACCTATCGATTATACACCGCAATGTTGCAATGAGTAGGTCCGTTTCGAGGGCGTGCCCGCTTGATATTGGTCCATCGAGAGAGCTTCGACCCGTGATTACGCATGGGCCGCCCAGGCCTCCAAGGCCTGGCCACACGACATCTAGTCGAGGACATTCGGGCTCATAAATATTCAAAGTTTTCCCGCATGTACACCCCTGGAAATTCGAGTTTGCCCCTTCTGGTTTGTCCAACATTTTCGCTGCAGCTCAAGGCTTTTTGGAAAACACCTTGGCACGCATGCCATGGTTGTTGCATGAGGAGGGTGGCGAGGAGGGGGGTCTTGTGGGGTCATCCTGGAGGTATTTCTGGGTCTCTTCGGGCGAGTCGTGCACGGTTAGAGGAGGCTCGGGTCAGGGAGACCCGAGAGGGCCAGGGACACGGACGACCACCCAGGACGACGACGACGACGACGACGACGACGAGTGGAAGAGAATTCGTTCGTAGAAGATGCCACCCTGGATGGGCCCAGGTGACGCAGGGCATCGATGTAGCCGCCGTCGACCACGACGGCGGCCACCTGCTGATCCTCGACTGCGAGGGGGGCAACAACGCGCTGGGCGAGATCCGCGCCCTGGTCAACGTCATCGGCACCCGGGAGCGAACAGAAATGCACGAGCATACTTATCCTCCTCCTCCTCCTCCTCCTCCTCCTCCTCCTCCTCCTCCTCCTTTTCCTCCTCCCCCTCATCTTGTTTATCCTTCTCCCCCCCCGACGGCGCCTGGTCGCTGCCCCTGGCGCGCTCCGCGCGCCAGGGAGGGGGCCTCCCCCCCAGCTCGGATCCGGGAGATCCGCGCGGACCTCCGAAAGCCCCTGCTTGTGGCGTCTCTTCCAGGCACGCTTCTGGGGACGCTGGTGGTGTTCGTGACCGGCGGCGCTGTGTCCGAGGCAGGCTCCATGTCGATCCGATCGATCCGACTCGGTATCGATTCCGGTTGGCCCGACCCGATTGGACTCCGATCTTCCGACGATCCGATGCGGCCCGATGCTTTGCACGGGGCCGATCCGACTCGGCGCGGCCGCCTCGACTCGAGTTTGGCTCCGGGCCGAAGCAGCCCGATCCGACACGCGTTCCTCGTCGAGCCGACGGCCCAGCTCGATGCAGACTGATCTTGCCGAGGGGGCGCTGCAGAACCTGGGGGTCAGCCTGGCGGCCAGAGAGCTGGTGCGGCGCGACGCGTCCTGCCCCCTCCACGAGCAGGGGCTGCTCGTGGTTGTCAACCTGACCAGGCTGGGGCACTGCAGGGAAGGGGGGGCGTCCTTCCCCCTCCTCGTCATCAAGATCATCCCCGCCCTTCCCCATCCTCGTCGTCAAGATCACCCTCATCATCAAGATCATCCCCATCCTCATCATCAAGATCATCCCCGCCCTCCTCTCCCTCATCCTCCTCTTTCTTCCGGAAGCTTCCCGTGCCACCGTGAGGACCACACGATCAGGAGCCGGGGGGCTGCTCCGGCCACGCCGAGCCTCGGCCGCGAACAGGGCCCCTGGCCTAGATCTGCGGAGCGGCCATTACCAGTTTGAAACATATCCCTATCCCTATGTTTGACATCACCTCACCTCGATGCCGATCTTAAGGATTCCCTCCGTTTCTGAGGGCCTGTCCCTAAGATTGTCCTCGCCTTTTGCTCGCCCATCTTAGGGATAGGGATAAGTTCGAGGCTGGTTAGGCCAGGAAGCCAGAGCCCCTCCTGCATCCCAAGGGGCCTTTACACGTCAGCCCCCTTGGCTGCGCTTCCTCTCCCCCCTCGCCCGCGAGCGCGCAAGAGCGCGCGTGGGGCACGGGCATTGGGAGAAGGGCCAGCAGAGCGGAGGGGGAGGAGGAGGAGGAGGAGGAGGAGGAGGAGGAGGAGGAGGAGGAGGAGGAGGAGGAGGAGGAGGAGGAGGAGGGGACCAGGCTAGAGTACAGCAGCAGCCACCTCGAGGAGATGCTGGCGGAGCGGCCCGGCGACGCTGGCCGGTCAGACCTGAGGCGGGCGATAGGCGGGGACCCCGATGGCATCGGCTCGTCGGCGGGGTTCGGACCACAAACGGGGGGCAGCGGCGCATTGTTTTTCCACGTCCTCTTACAGCTGGCCTGCCGATCCCGAGGGGTCTTTACGTCGAAGAGGAAAACTGTACGTATGTTAGGGGGCGTGAACCCCACAGTGGGTTCCTAGCAATCTACGTGGTCCAACACATTTGGTGCAATCTATGTAGTATTTTTGCCCGCAGTGAGTCGTCAACCCCACCGCTCGCAGAATCCTCCCACCCACCCAACCGCAATTTAGTCTGTCTGCAAAACCATACGAGGGCGATTGCAATGACTGCTTGGCGCTGGCTGGCGCACAACTGCAGCCGCGCTGGCGCGCGCAGGCTCGCGCGCAAAGCGGCCACCTAGTCTGGCGCGACCCACGCGGCCGCGGTGGTGCTAACCGCTGAGGACTCCCGAGCACGTGTCGCAGACCGCGAGAGAATTCGATCGGTTTTTGCACCGAACCGCCTCAAAACAGATGCCCACCAGCCGCAGGCAGCTCCCGATATTTGCGGAATGGTGGGGCATGCAGGGGGGGGCATCTGTTTGCGGCAGTTCGGTGCACTAGCGGATCGAACCCATGCCTCCCCCTTCAGAGTCCCCGCCCCCCTTGGTGGATCCCGATGCTCCTCTCCCGCGTTCTGGCACGATTCAGGATTGTCAGGACGCAACAGCCATGATGATCTGCGGCGCCGAAGTCCTAGGAATGGCCTTTTGGTAGGGTTAGGGATTATCTGACGGTTTTCCTCTGATGGGCAATTTCCCAGAATGGAAGTAGATTCTTGTAGGTGCTTATGAAGAGGGAACTTGGACAGGAGGAGTTGTTGCCACACCATTGTTTCGGCTTGGGTTTATACTGGTCCTCCTCCTCCTCCTCCTCCTCCTCCCTCCCTCCTCCTCCTCCTCCCCTCCCTGTCCTCACTCCTCCTCCTCCACCCCCTCCTCCCCCTCCTTCTCCTCCTCCTCCCCCTTCTCCTCCTCCCCCTCCTCCTCCTCCTCCTCCTCCTTCTCCTCCTCCTGGAGAAAGAGGAGGAGAAAAAGGAGGAGGAGGAGGTAAAGGAGGAGGAGGAGGAGGAAATGCGCTCCTGTCTCCGTCACCGCCCGCCGGCGCAAGGCGCCGCCTTCCCGCGCCGCGGGCTGCTGGCGGTGCCCGCGGCCGGCCAGGCCGGCTACGGCGAGGCGCTGGGCCAGCTGCGGCGGGGCGCCCTCGGCGGAGCGGCGCCGCTGGCCGTCGGCGGCGCGCCGGCGCGGCTCGCGGCAGCCCTGCTCATCCGCCTCGCGTCTCCTCCTCTGCGCTCGTCCTGCTCCTCTCGGGCCGGACGAAAGGGGGGGGATTGGGAAAGGGGGGGGGGTACGAAAGCTGCTGCCTGCAGCCGGTCTCGGCCCCGCCGCCGGGCCCATGCCTCGGTGCATGGGCGCCTCCCGGCGCTGGGCGGCGCCGGGAAAAGCAGCTACGTGAGCCGATTCTCAAAGCCCCCCTTTGCTATCCCCCCCTTGCGCCCGACCCGATCCTCGCTGCTCCTCCTGGGGTCGCTCTGCGGTCGCTCTGCGGTCGCGCGTCGTCTGTCCCCGCCTGTCCTCGCTCCTCCTCCTCCTCCTCCTCCTCCCCCACAATGATTCAATTTGAAAACTATTATCCTTTCTCCCCTGGTGACGTCCGGGAAATGTCTGGCCCCTTCTCCGCGCATGGGTTTTTTACACATGATTCGCGGGAGTTGGGTTGTCGCTCGGTTTTGTTTGTAAAGGCTGCTCTCGCTGAAGCAATGGCTTCGTTTTCGCGCTTCCGCTCGTTCCGAATCGTGCTCGCGCCACAGCGCTGGCCTCATTTTCGCGCTTCCGCTCGTTCCGAATCGTGCTCCGGCTGCAGCGATGGCGTCGTTATTTCCAGCGCCACGCAACGGCATGGTTTTCAGTCCTTCCATAGGCCCCAAAATATAGAAAATTGCTCCCCGAAAAAACCATCGGGAGTGATTACACATTCGGTGTCGGTTCTTTGATTTGTGGGGCCGCAGAACCCCCACTTTGAGGCTTCGCCACGCCATGCTATGTCAGGCTACGCGTCCTCCGAATCGTGTTCCCGCTGCAGCGCTGGCCTCATTTCCGCGCCTCCGCTCGTTCCGACTCGTGCTCCCGCTGCAGCGTTGGCGTCAGCATTTCCAGCGCCATGCCACGGCATTGTTTTCGGCCCTTCCAAATAGGCCCCGAAATCTGAAAAATTGCCCCCCGACAAAATCATCGGAAGTGATTACACAGTTGGTTTCGATTGATTGATTTTTGGGGCTGTAGAAAGCCCCCCGGTCCTTAAAAAACGATCCGGCTGGAAAGCGCCGATCCGACTTGACCCCGTGGGGGGTCCAGGGGCCCAGCGTGAGCCGATTGTTCAAAGAAGCTAGGTCATCGAGCCTGGCAGCCCGCCGTACTATTCCCTGACATCCGTCCTCGCCCGCCGTAGCTTCCTCCGCCGCCGCCGCCGTCATCGTCTGCGTCGTTGTCGCCGTCGGCAATTTCTGCGCGTTCCGTGGAGTCTCCGGAGCCTCGTGCAGAGATGTCCGGGGAGTCCAGGGAGATTTGGACGGGGGCTCGGGGAACGCAAGGCAGCGTGTCGAAAGGAAGGGGGGGGCCTTACGCTATTACAGTACCCCTACCAAACTGGACTTGGCACTCGAAAGCGCCAACATCGGGCAAGCACGGTTGCGCAGGACATGGAGCCAGGATTCCGGACAGGCCTTCTCCTTTCGCACACGGGCCATTTACCCTCCAAGGCATTCGGTGCCATGCCATGGCATGCAATGCGATGTTGCGTTGTGCTCCGCTGCGCGATGCCATGCTTTGCAACGCCACGCTTTGTGACGCAATGCTACACTACGCAATGCCAAGCCATGCTATGACAGGCTCTGCTCTGCCGCTCTCTTCTACACCATGCAATGCCGCGATTTACCATGCATCGCAAACCCTCCGGGATCATTGCCTTGCTCGACATCAGCCTGTGCGCATTAAGAGTAGATTTGCGCCATGGAAGGGTTGTGGGGAGGGGTATAACGACACATATGACGCGAGCGCACCTAGCTTGTCCTCCTCTCCCTCTTTGTCCTCCTCCTCCGCCTCTTCCTCATGTTCCTCCTTCTCATCCTCTTCGTCCTCCTCCTCCTTTTCATTCTCGGGTCGTCCGTAGCAGTAGTAGCTCAAGGCGTCGATTTGTCCCGGACAGGGAGTGGAGACCGCTGACATGCGGCAGTGCTAGAGCGTCTGCGGTGGACGATCTTTTCACCCAGTACCGTTCGGGTTTCCGGCGGCCCCTTCGTCCTAGCAGCTACGACGGCATGGCGCCACCGTCTTGGATTAAGGACGTCAAAGCCGGTTCGGTGTGTAATCTCTGTACGTTTCATCGCACCGACGCTCCTCTCATCAAATACGTTGACAATAAGACATTTGCCACATTCACAAGAGGTCGGCCCTTTAGTGTTTAGTCTCTCCCGACTTGCCCAACATTCGCAAGCGCAAGCACAGTCAACGTGCTGCCGAGCAGCAGCCTTCTCTTTCCTTCGCCAAGTCTGAGAAGCGCCTGCTGAAGTTCGAGGCCGAGAATGAGCGGCCACGGGCGCCACATGGAGAAAGAGGAAGAACAGCAGAGGCAAACGAGTCTGATGACCTGAGGGAGAAGATTGGCGGGCTGGTCTAGCATGTACAGTTGCTCGAATCAGTCAACTTGGATGGGGCCGAGACCCTTTTTTCTCAAGTCGGCAACCGAGCAATTTGAAGGTGTTCGCAAGAAGCTCTCTGACAATCAGTTACGAGTCCTTGTTTCCAGCGAAGCTTACAGCACTTTTGCGTCGAACTGAGCAGGCCCGTCCTAGGCATTAGAAAGCAAAGCATTCGCGGCAGCGGGTCCCCACTTGATGGACTGTACGCCGGCAGTGTAGCATCTCGACGGCGAGCTGGGCATGCTGTCCAAGCTGCCGCATTAGAGTCCTCCATAGCCGCTGGACCTGACGAGACCCGGAGTGGCAGTGGACTAGAAGAAGTTGCCCACTTGTTTCGAAGCCTTGGAGGGATGGCGGACGCTGGAAAGTTGGATAAAGGGCATGTGCCTTCAAAGATAGGGCAGCAGACACGTTGTCTACACCGCCCGACAAGAAGCAGGAGACTTCGGATGCAGGCCCGCCAAAGCCTCAGGAGTGGAGCCACGCAGATCTCAATGTGAAGCCGTTGCGCAAGGGCGTTGGAGAGTTCGCGGACGTCGAGGCAGATCGCCCAGGCTGCACAACCCAATATACGAATTGCCCCCAATCGCGCTGTTTCTTGGCGGAAGCTGCGGGCGGGGGGGCCCAGAAGTTCAAGTTCTACAATCAGATGCCCCACTGCGGCCAGCAGCTCCCTGGCTACAGCTACCTCAACCTGTGCGATTACAAGTTTTGCGGCACGATCGAGTTGTTCGTCGCGCCGCAGGCATTCATATTTTTCAGGAAAGCCCCCTGGGGCCCGCTCATGCGCGCCAGCCCCTTTGTGCCCCACGTCGGATTTCGAAATCGCCACGCATGTAATTTGTTTTTTTGGGGGGGGCAACGCGCGGCCGATCCTGCGTCTTGGTATGGCTGCAGATATCACGGCTGTCTCCATGAATGCGAAGACCTTGTCCACCGCCCATGCGTGCATGGGGCGCTGCGTCTTTGAGCAGGGTTAGCAGGCCGATCTCGCTGCGCTGCAAGAGCTCCGCCTCGCTGGCGAAGAGCAGGACGAGCGCGGGCAGAATAGAGCGCTGAACAGAGGCTACAGACCAGAAGGCTCGGTTTGCGCCATCACGGGCAGTTGAGCCCTGTCAACTTCCAGCCGGGCTGGTCTTGGCACGCGCGCCCGCCTGCCCGCTGCCGAGTACTCGCCGACCTGCGGTCGCCCCAAGTCAGGGCTTCAGTTCCAGAGAACGGTTCTCGGTGACATGCAAAATCTTCTCCCGTCTGTTCTCGGGGGGAAGGGGTTGGACTGGCAGCGCGGTGCTCTTGGGAGCTGCAGCCGAGGCCGCCAGGGCCTCTTGCTTGCTGTTCTGCATCGACGGGGGCCGGGGCCCGGGGGCCGAGATTTTTTTCCGCTTTAAAGTTGATGTGGCTGGGGCTCCGGAACTTGCCGCGCGTCGTGAGTGCGCCCGCGGCTATGCCGACGCGCAATAATTCGCGCCTCGTTCTTCGCGCTCGTCGATGCGCTGCCCCCCCATGCGCGCGCTCAGTGAGCCCTGCAGAGCACGCCCCAGGGGGGCCCCGCACAGCGGTGGTCTTGAGGGCCTCGGATACAGGAGGCCACAACAATATCATCGCCGGGTCCAGTCTGAGCTTTTCTGGCAGTCGAAGAGAAAGGAGCCATTCGTTGCACGAGATGTCTACAGCCGGCCATGTTCCGAGCTTCTGGTGGGAGAGTCGGCGATTGCACCGGCGAGAAGACGGTTTTTCTTTGCCGGGCTCTTCTGTCGCATCCGCATGGGCGCGCCTGTCCTGGATGGGCCCAGGCTCTGCGGGCGCACAAAAGGCTGTCGCTCGAAACAAGCGTTTCTCTCACGTGCCCAGGGGGGGCGATGGGGGCGCGCGTCGCAAAACAAGCGCGTCGGTTCGGAGCTGGTAAGAATAGCGCAGCGTTGCGACGCACTGGGCTCGCGACCAGGACCCGCCGCCCTCGACGGGGCCAGCTGGCCGCAGAACGCAACGGCTCGCGTGGAGAAAGTCGGGGACGCGCGAGTCGGGGCGGAAGGGGCCGGAGTCTTTTGACCAGTCTGCTCCTGTCAAGACCGCCTCGCAGGCCGCCTTCCTCGAGCGTTAAACGGGCTGCGAGAATGAAGCTGCGGCCTGCGACCCGGCGCAGGCGCGGGTCAACCACCGCGCGAACGAGGATGCGTCGGCAACGAGGCAGTCTTGGAAAGGGTTTCTTGATCTGGCGCTCCAGCGAGGGGGCGGGCGCGGCGCGCCAGTTTGCCAGGGGCCCCGAGGGGGTCGCGCAGTCCTGTGCCATCAGAGAACCTTTCCAGCGGTTGGTCACGGGGAGCTCATGCCCGCGTTGAGCGCTCGGGCTTCTCTCTGGAGGGCGCCGCCCAGGGACTCGGGGCCCCGCCCTGTTTCTCGAGATATATCTCGCGCGCCGCCGCGGCCCCCGTCCGCTCTTGGAGCCAGCGATTGTTCGAGCCGCCTCGCGCCCCATGCCCAACGCGGGCTTGGGCCGGACAGTTTTCGCCCGCGCGGATTAAATGCCCCGGGGCATCGCGCGCG